TTTGAGGACTGAGGTGTATCTGACCCAAGACATGGTATTTTCAGTATCCTCATATGCATGTGAAAGTTGGACAATGAATAAAAAAGATCATAGAAGAATTGATGTATTTGAGCTATGGTGTTGTAGAAGAATATTAAAGGCACCATGGACTGCCAGAAGAACAAACAAATCTGCGTGGAAGAAGTGCAACCAGAATGTTCCTAAGGAGCAAGGATGGCGAGACTTCATCTCTCATACTTCAGACATATTGTCAGGAGGGGCCATTCCCTAAACAAGAACATCATGCTTCATAAAGTGGAGGGATGGCAAAAAAGAGGGAGAACCCCCACCCCCACCCCACAATGAGACTGATTGGCATGGTAGCAGCAACAATGGGCTCCAGCAAGGCATCAATTGTGAGGACAGCACAGGGACAGGGTGTGTTTCTTTCTGTTGTACGGAGGATCGCTATGAGTTGGAACCAATTTGACAACACTAAACAATATCTGAAGTCGTAGTGTTAACCTTCTGGCTTTCTGATTGCTGTCTTGTTTGGTTCCCTTTTTTTTCGTTTGTCAGTTTGTTTCTTGAATTCTTCTGAAGTTTTGTCCATGTTTTCTTGACTTCATCTACAGTTTTCTCAATTGTTCTTTCAATCCATTACAGATGCCTAACTAGCATTATTTAAAATTCTTTATCAGGTGGTTCCCATGTTATATTTTTCTGATTCTGTATTTTGGTCACTTGTCTGAGGCACTCTGTCTTGTTTCTTTGTATAAGCTGAAATTGTCTGTTCTCTGAGACATTGTGGTGTTGTATTTATATTTAGTTGATGATTGTATAGTTGTGTAATCAACTGTCTCCTGGTGAATTTGATAGAGACCAGAAGTGTGAACATGGTTAGTTCTCTGTTTGTGTAGCAGAGTTTACTGCAGGTTCACACACCTCCAGAAGCAGAGGCTTGATGACATGCACCGAATCCCAGGCAGAGTAGATGCTGCACATGAGGGAGTGCTACTGACCACTGAGTTGGTGAGGGCAGGCATTGATCATGCCCCAGCTGCCAGGAGGACTCAGGAAGAAGGGACATTTTTACTCTATTGCTGTCAACCTCATGTCACATCATGTGTCTGCAGGTCACTATATCAACAGCCATTTACATAAGTTGCTTAGGCAAGTACATACCAGCCCCACGTCTGCCTGTTTTTCTTCTCACTCAGCTTCTTCTTCTAGTTGGAACTTAATTACCTCTCTGTCTTATCCTCTGGTGCTCTGGTTTCTAGGATCATCATCTGTGTCTGATTCACTCAGTCTCTTATGTCCATGTGATCACAAACTAAGCTCAACCTTCCTCCCTATATGGAATCCAGCTGTGGGCTCCCAAAGTGACCACGGACTAGACTCGGCCTTCTGTCCTGTACGGAACCCACCTGTGTGGCTCCCAAAGTGACCGTGGATGAGGCTCAGCTCTCTCTCTGCCCTCACACCTCCATCCCTCTCTCCTCTCAGAAGTTGTCTTTTCTCCCTCACTCACAGCCCACACCAAGCACAGGTCCACACTGAACTCACCTCCATATGGTTACCATTGAACTCTGACTGCTGAATCCAGGGTCTGCATGCCTTGAAAGGCAGGACCAACTCAATCCTGCCTCCCCCCTTAACATAGGCATGACCTCCTGGAACCTTTATTTTCTCATTTGTGAAATGGGAATGTAGCCAGAACTTCCCTTTGGAGGATGCTGATGAGCTCAGTGAGTTTGTGCTCGATGTAAAGCTATCAGAGCTATGATTTCACCCACCACACCGGCTGATGAAGACCTCACTAGAACCTGGGAATCTGACCTTGTTTAGAAATAGGACTTTGAATACACTATCAGGTTAGCATGATGGAGTAAGCTGTGTCCCAGTCTTGAGTGGTGTCTTTATAAAGGAGGAGAGACACAGAGAGAAAGAGGAAAGGTGTGAAGTTAGAGGTAGAGATTGGAGACACACAGTCACAAGACAAGGAACACCAGGGACAACCAGAAATTGGAAGAGACAAGGAATAAACTTCCCCTGGAGCCTCCTGAGGGACTGTAGTCCTGCCCACACTGGACTCCAGAACATGAGAGTAAAGTTCTCACATTTTATCACCTCCCCACCCTTCAGTTTGTGGTCCTTTGTTCTGACAGCCCAAGGACACTTGTACACGAAGCTATGAGGTAACACAGACTAAAGGATCTGCCAACCATAGAGCTGCATCACATCATCCATCCAGAGAGGTATGTGTTGCTTCTGTAGTTAACTGCTGTCCAGCCAGCTACATCTCATGGTGGCTCATGCACAACAGAATGAAACACGGCCTAATATCGCACCACCTTCAACATCAATTGGTCTGCTCGAATCCAACGTTGTAGCCTCTGTGTGTTTTGAGTACCTTCCACTCTCAGGGACTCATCGTCTGAAATTATATCCAGCAATAGTCTCTTGTGATCCACAGAGTTTTCATTGACTAGTCTTCAAATGTAGATAATGTGCCCTTTCTTCCTAGATTGTCTGGGTCTGGATGTTCTGCTGAAACCTGCCCACCTTTGGTGACCTTGCTGGTATTTGAAACTCTGGTGGCATCACTTCCAGTATCACAGTCAGACACAGTGACAGTTCTGTGGAAATGTAAAGATGACATGTTTGCCAGTGAGCAGAGAAAGAAAAGCTGGAATCAAGGGGCTGGATGAGGTCTGATGGACGAGGTTCTGGACTCCCAGGAATTTCAGGACTTCGGACAGAACATGACCCAGGTATTCTAGGAATTTTGGACAGCACGCGGCCCTAGATTTCAGGACCTCGGATAGCGCATGGCTTGGTATTTTCAGGACCTCGGACAGCGCATGGGGGGTGGTTGTCTGTTGTTTTAGGACCTTGGACAGCACACGGCCCTCCTCTGTGCCGAGCCTCAGGTTACAAGACAGCTTGTGGAAAATTCTCCTCCTCCGGTGCTGTGCTTGGTGAGTGTTCTCACTTTTCACACATTGGCTCAGATGTCCTCCCCTGTCTCTCTGTGTGACAGCACTGGGCTCTGCTGCGTCCAGATGTCCACGTTGCTAAGCCAGCGGATTTGGGATAAATGTTGTTTCAGTGAGAATGGTGCCTTGCTTTTCTTCTAAGGACCCCACAGTTGTGTCATGGGCTTGAAGGGACAAGTCCTCGGCTCCAAGACAGAACTGGCAGCACCTGCTTCCCTCCCTGCATGTCTCCCTCCCTCTAATCCTCCCTCTGTCCTTCCACCTGTCCCTCCATCCATCCTTCTGTCCCTCTCCTCCTCCCTCATGAAATAAACATGCATTGGTAACTGTCTGTACAAGTTCAGTCATGGCAGACATTGCCTGCTCTGAATGGTCCTGGTTTTAGTGGATGGCGCAGGATTGAGGATGGATAAGTTCACCATAGAGTGTCTATGATGACCAGCATGAGGGAGAAGAGTAGGGTAGGCAGTGAGGGTTGGGGACTGCTTTACCCAGAGGATGGGGTCACTGTGTTTACACAGTGGCTTGCTGCCATGTCCTTTACAACCCTTAGGTTTCTAAGGGTTGTGATTAAAGAAGCTGCTATCCAGACCCTGCTAATAGTCACTCAGCAAGGAGACCCCCATGCCAGGAGACCAGAGACATGGGGGAAGGGCTAAAGAGGGTCCTGGGTCAGGGAGTGCTGCCTGGAGGAGGTAGCCACACTACTGCCTCACCGGGTTGCCATAGGTAACTTAGTCGGGTCCCTGCCTGCCATGCTGTACACTGACCTCTGAGTCAGTGACTAGCTGGAGCTGGACCCTGCCTATCCTGGTGTTTCCTCTTATGTTTCACTTCTTACCCTTGGTAACCTTGTGAGTTGCTCAGTCTGAGTTCAGGGTAATGGTTCCCTGGGAATTCTGACTCAGATGCAGGCTAGAGTGTGGAGGACCAAACAGGTGGGAGGGGATGAACTCCAACTTTTATTCCACTTGGTGTGTTACCTTCACCCTCTATCCTTCATCGCCTGCCCACTCCCTGGAGGCTCAAGGAGTGAGGAAGAAACAGGTGGGAAGCTCCAGGCACAGTGATGTGATGAGGGACAGCACCTTCCCTTAGTGCAACCTGCCAACATGAGTCTCCTGTGACTGGGGAACCTCCCCCACCTCCTCTCACAGGTTGTCTTCACAGTCTTCCTCAACAAGGAAGTCCAAACACCACCTCCAATAGCTCCCCTTGGCCCATGACCCACCCCCAGGCTTCTCTGAATGAAGGGTGAGGGAAAAGTGACTTCAGGCCTGGTCACTTCAGAGTCCAACAGGCTGGACTCCCACCAGCAGATCAACAGAGGCACATCACACTCACATTTCACATTCAACCTCTTCCAATGAAGGATACTCATTCAGAATAAAACAGGTCCATCCAAAGCAGAGAGAAATTTACAATGTGAACAGTGTGTGAGAGATGTCACTCAAGAGCCACAAGGTGAGCTCACATCTAGGACAAGGAGATGGTGATGAATATGATAGTGGTGATGAGGGTGGTGATGGTGATGAGGGTGGTGATGATGAGGGTGGTGATGATGAGGGTGGTGATGATGAGGATGGTGATGATGAGGGTGGTGATGATGAGGATGGTGATGATGAGGATGGTGATGGTGATGAGGGTGGTGATGGTGATGAGGGTGGTGATGATGAGGATGGTGATGATGAGGGTGGTGATGATGAGGATGGTGATGATGAGGATGGTGATGATGAGAATGAGGGTGGAAATGATGATGGTAGTGATGAGAGAACAATGATGATGGTGATGATGATGATGAGGATGGTGGTGATGAGAATGAGGGTGATGGTGATGAGGGTGGTGATGATGAGGGTGGTGATGGTGATGAGGGTGGTGATGATGAGGGTGGTGATGGTGAGGGTGGTGATGGTGATGAGGATGGTGATGATGAGGATGGTGATGATGAGAATGAGGGTGGTGATGATGAGGATGGTGATGATGAGGGTGGTGATGGTGATGAGGGTGGTGATGATGAGGGTGGTGATGATGAGAATGAGGGTGGTGATGATGATGAGGGTG